CTTTCTTTTATCTCTTTTTAGTTTCAGATCTTTTTCTTAAATTCATATTTTCAAACAACCTTATGAATGTTATCTGTGTTTATATTTACACAACAAATTTCACCCCTGAAGAAGGATCAGACAATCTGGCATATACAAAAACTGTGTCTTTAATCTTTTCTCTCCCAGGTGACATTCAAGGGGTTGGAGCACAAGATATTTTTGAGCCCAGTCTGTCTTCCTTATCATTATCAAGATGCTATCAACTTTAAGTGAGGTCAGCACTGTCATTTGTACCCAGAGTCTGCTTTTGAACCTTTTTCTCATACTAGGCATACTGATATGCAATGGAGGAGGCTCTTTCCATTCTTTTCTTTAGGCTTCCTTGAAGATCCTTTTGTAGAGGCTGCCTACAGAACACAGGTTGGCCTCAGTCTTTTTCTGCTCTGAGTACAGTTGTTTACTTTGTCAGTTTCTCCACATATTTAGTTATCTGATAGGATACTGTTATAGCAAGAACTTCTTTGCTCCAGTGATGGATGTCCCCTGGCCAAATGGGGTGTCCTGTCAGATCTTAAAAAAGGGAGACTATACCTGTCCCCTCATCATAAACTAACAGTGCTGAAACCTACTGATATATTCTTTGTGGCCAGCAGCTTCCACCGTCATGGGCAGAAGGGGCTGGAAGGCAGGGTAAAGGCCAGGTTCCCTTTAGCCATTTTTCTATAGCCCAGGCAGCTTTTCGGGGATTTTTTCCCCCACAGTTTAGGGCTAGTATCCTTGACCACAGTGAGATGATCTGTGGCTGCCCGGGGCCAGGCTGAAAAACAGATTTGGGAGTGCCAGCACTGGGTTTAAAAGATTTAAATCTTTTTGACCCCTGATATCCTTGCATTGCCTTTTGGCACTTTCAACTTTGTTCTTGACAGTTCAGACTCCTTATGCAACTACATAAATGCCTGTACATACAGAATCTATTTCATATCCTTTAACCCTGACAGAAACCTTCAATATCAAGATTGTGTAATAATCCAGAAAAACCTTTCAAAGGCTAGATTGTGTTATAGTAAATCGTTTTAGGCTTATACCTATAGGTTGCTCATTCAGCCAAGATCTATTTGCTCAGGAGACCACTGAGCCAGTAACAGATACAAAAAACCCAAAACAGATGAGAGAGGATCATCAAACAGGGCTGACAGATGGGAACCTTTAAAATAGACATTGTGTGTACAGATTTCTTCCATTTACTTTCCCTTTCTTTGACAGATCAATTCTAACTGCAAGATTGTATACTAATCCAGAAAGCTATTTGAAAGCCAGATATAGTTAGAGTAAAATATTATATTAGACAGGCTTATACCTGTAAGTGGCCCTTCAACTTTACCTCTGACAGACCAACTTCAATTGAAAGACTGTACAAAAAAGAAACAGACACTACCAAAGAGCCCCAAAACCATGGCCAACAGACAGGAACATTTAAGTTCCAGCCAAGATCTTTCTCAAGAGACTACCTATAGGATTAGTGCATTATTGGCCATGTCTTAAAAGGGGCAGTAACAGATATAGGCAAAAACACAAGACAACAGTTCTCAAACTCAAGGCCAACAATCAGTTGAGAACCTACAACAGATCAAAAGGGAGTAAGTATCCTGAGGTTCTTGAGTTCCATTTAACCATGACTCCCCACATGAGTGGTACCACACGTCCCCATAAAAAGGAACAAGATGTGAGGAATCAAGGGTCTTGGCTTGCACACTGGGTGACTTATCAAATGGCCAATGGTGTCACAACTTTACTGTATTCAGTTTCCTTTTTCTCAGTGTAGACCATGATGGAGCAAACTTTACCTTTTTCTCAGTGTAGACCATGATGGAGCAAACTTTACCATTCAGGGAGAGAAGGCAGGAGTTCCCCAAAGCAAAAGGAGCTTTGGCAGCTGCTGGGATGGTCCTTCAGTCCCTCCCTTTACTCACAGGAATAGCACCTCTGGTTCAGAAGTAAACTTATCTGTTTCCTAACTCTCCTACTGTTGGCTCTTAACAAGTTTGTCAGCACCTTGCATCCTTAGCATGGAATTGGGGTTCTTTGGAGAGCTAGTCTGCCCAAGAAAGTTGGAACAGGGGCTGCTCTTGGGTTCCAATTGGGGTACCAAATTTTTTGTAGTAAGTTCAGTCCTTGTTCTTGATGCCAATCCAATAAGGAGAACATGGTTTTGAGAAAGGAAAAAAGTTGTATTGCTTGCTAGCAAAGGAGAAACACAGGGGACTCTTGTCCTAGAAGCTGTGATTCTTACACAATAGAATTTCAAGGCACATCAGATAGAGGCACAGATTTATTCAGAAAAGCAAGGAATATGTATTCAAGGGAGAAAAGTACAGAATACCTCAAGATTGAGACAGACATGCTTTTGTGGTCTAGGGCTCTTTTTTTAAAGGAAATTTTGTGAGTAGTGGTCATGGAAATGTGGGTGGGGTATCAGTCTGGTGATCACAGGACAGCTTTTGTTGTGATGGCTGATCTCAGAATCTTTAGGTGGATGTCATTTCTATTACCTGATCAATAAGATAACAATTGGAATATTCCCTATTAGGATAGGTTTCTGAAAACATCTCCCTTTGCTTATTCTATTCTGAAAACATATGTTTGTGTATAGTACAGGACAACTTTTGTAAATAAGTGATTCTGCCATAACTTTAAGATCCCAGAAACTTAGAAATGACTGGCCTGGAAACAAAACTTACTTGAGCACAAAAAGTATGAGGAACTTTAGCATGTGGTTTTCAGTTTAAAGCTATAGTCTCTTTTTCTTTTGTTTCCTTTATACCTTATATTTCTTCTTAGAAAGAATTTGGGAATCCTGTGGTTTTCATTAGCTGTGCCTTTGAGCATGCTTGTGGAAAAAAAGTGGAAAAAAGAAGGGGGACAATTAGGCTAGATCAGCTCAAAGAATTCTGGTTAGCAGGGATGCTATATGTCAAGACTGTAGTAGTTGTTTCCAGGAAGGGACTTGGTAAGCAAATTGCCTGTGGTTTGAACATCATGCTGTTAGCAGCAGGATCAGAGATAGAACATGTATGATGAAACTAAGAAGAGCCAGCTGTTATGTATCCCTTACTATATGCTACTGCTCTACGTGCTTTACATGGTTGACAGACCCTTTACAACTGTGTAGTAAATACTAACTTCATCTCCATTCTGTAGAAAATGAAAGTGAGGCAAAAATTAACTAAGATTAGTAATTTAGGCTACTGGGCAATGGAATAGCTGGTATTGAAATCTAGACAATTTGAATTCAATCTGACCTCTCAAACAATGTTCTATGTTATTGCCTCACATTTTAAAAGGATCATGAAGTCAAGGGTCTCCAGGATTTGTTCTGTAGTTCTGTATAATTGAGGTATTTGTTTATTTTTCTGGATACTCTTTAATTTATGATGCAAGAATTCTTTTTTGTCTGTTTTTTAATCTGTATGCCTAGGTGTGATATGATGATGTTCCAAATAATCTACTCCAGCAGTGGCTGGAATAGCAACCAAAGAGAAATTTACATCAGTTCCTATTGTGTGATCTTGAGCAAGTCACAAAAATGTTCTGAATTTAAGCTTTAGAAGCAGAAAAGGATAACACCGTGTACACCATAGGACTGGACAATTAAATGAGGATTTTCTGACCACTAACTAGATGTGTTCTATTTAGGTGTCCTTGTTCAGGTAAGTGGACAATTTATGTGTGGCATTTGCAAGAGTAATTTGACCATACGATTTTTCTTTACTGCTGACATTAAACTCTTTGGTTAGAAGCAACTGCATAGAAACCCCTAAATGACTGTACGCCAAGTGTCTTGAGATGATTGATCTCTTTGAGTTATTTTTATAGTCATGCTTAGAGTAACACTCATCTAACTAACTACGCAGATGGGTCTGGTGACTGCCCATATCAAGCATGTATTTCTTTGCTAATAAAAGCTATGATTAAGACAGAATAGCAATGGAAAGCAAAAGAAGGACCTTTTCAGCTGACCATTCAGCAGATATTTTATTTTCATTTTCACAAAGTGACAACCCAAAAAAATTTCTGAAGGCAACTGAATTTTCTAAAATATTAAACATTTTTTATTTAAATAAATATTTTTCAGTTTCTTTCAATTGAAAGAAATATTAAAATAGATAGAACTGCATTAATATGTAGAAGTAGACTGCTTTAAATATTGTAACCTGTATACTAAAATCCAAGGAAGAGAAGTATAGAAAAAAGTACAAGGGAATTATGAGTAATGAATTATTTTAACTTTTATTGGATTATTTTCATTACAGTTGTGGCACTGACATTTTTTTTTAAAAAAAGATTTAAATTTTATGTAAAGATTGAACTTCAATAAAATAACTTAAAAAACATATACATGTATAGCACTAAATCTCCATAAAATATACAATACTTTTGATACAGCATAGGTTAGGATGATTTAAGGAAATAATACATATTCATAATTTTTCATTGATATCCCATGTCACATGTGAGAATAAATATATTGAATTTGCCAAGACATATGAAGTAACACTATGTAACATGCACTCAAATTAAAATATACAGTTTGAAATACATACATTTTTAAAAGCATAAAACTGTTTTTATCTAGATGTACATTAGAGCTTCTAAAGAGAAATCTGAACATTTATTACAAATAAAAGATACTATAACATCATGTGAGATATAGTCCAAAAGCTGCTAGGAAACAATTTCGACATGTAGAACATAAATTTCTACTTTGGCCAGAGTTAAAGTCTGATCTTTTTTGATCTTTAAATGAAATGGAATAATGTTAAATTTGCTAATGTCTTAAAACTGCACAAAGTACTGTTGTGATTTTAAGTACTAGTTAGCTGCACAGTCTATTTCTTTTTCTCATTTATATTGATATGACAAAATCAAACACATGAACTGTCTAAAACAAAAATGTGACTTACTTTTAAATGAAGGTATTTGAAATTCTGTAGACCAAATTATTCAAGTACAACAGACTGTATTTTATACACACAAAAGATTTATAGGAATTATGCTGTTTTACACTCACAAGCAAGTTATGAAGATAAAATACCTTTTCATGTACTTTCGAACATCAACACTTGGCATACAAAAATTTCCTTCTCTAAAGAGAGACGATATACAAGAAAGAGTTGTTAGCAGTTAGCTGTTTGGCATTTTTAAATGATTGCTGTTTCTAGACAATAGCAGCAGTATTGCTCACCTAGAAGAAATGAATGTACCAACAGTTTATATACTGCTACAATCTGAACCACTTCATCAATTTAGCTTAACATTACTATACATGAGGCTAAAAAATTTATAGAAAGTGACAGAATAAAGGACATTAAAATTAATCCAGAGAATAATTATAAATCTTTTTTATAGGTAGCATCTATGTCAGCTGTAAATTTTACCCATAATTTAATAGTTTGCTATAAAACATACACTATAAATTCTCTTTTCTTAGCCTGGTTATGTTTAATTATTTTATTACTAATAAGTGAAAAGGTCTGAATGTATAATTGAAAATTTACCACACCAGAATAAAAGTCAGGTATTTAATATAATTTGCTATAACTTTGAAAATAGTAAAATTTGATAACAAAACATAATAATACTTAATTATTGTGCTGATAAAAATCAAATCACAACAATCCTGCAAACTCCCCACTGTAGTAGTGAACTGTATTAGTATAATTAAGATGTGAGATTTTTAAGATTACATATGGATAGTATTTTCTAAAATATCATTCTCTCCCCCAGCCCCATTTTAATTTTTATTGAAAACCAAAAGGGTAAAGTTGCCAACTTGTGTTTTTCCTGATCAATCTTGCCCTGTTTAACAGATACTGAAGTTATAGTAAGAAATTTATAAATTCTTTGCTTGAACTAATTTCTCATTTTAGTGTGAATAATGTACAAAGTAATATTTAGATAGGTACTAAAATCTAGTTCAGTAGTAAAATTAAGTTATGAAAAGACTTTAGAGGTATTCTCAGACAATTTTCTATTAAGGAACTTACTAATGCTTAGGCTGGGAACAAAAGCACAAATGGAAATTTTTTTTCCATCTATAAATATATATATTAAAAACAATCATGTTTTAAATCATTGACTAAGTTAGGTGCAATAATCAAAATTAATAGGTATGTTTACCTTGAAGAAAGATATTAATATCTTTTTTGATATCACATTCAGGCCTATATATGGACAAAATAAATATTTTAAATTCTAATGCAGAACAGCTCTCTACCTAGCCTCATCAGTGATTATGACCTTCTTCATTATATTTTCCTAAACCATCACATACCTCTGTTGAATTTGCAGCATATTAGGAGGAAATTACTATAAATAATTTCAATTGAAACCATGATGCTTAATCTGTGATTTAATAGGTAGGTCAAATAACATTATGTAAATTGTCCTACAAAATATATATTTGATTATATTTCAAATGGGAAGCTTTCAAGTTGATAGTGGTAGCCAAAGGCACTGAAAACTTAAAAGGTGATAATATTAAAAAAACCTGCAAAATTCATATATTTTAATTTTAATGTATTATAAATGTTCACCAAATCTAAAATACCCTAACTGTGTAAGATTCCTTTTCAAGGAGTTATTATTTTTTTTAAAAAGTTATAAATAATTCTTATACTATATCTCTCTGTCTTCAAAGATATGGAATATTATTATCATTACATAAATAATAAATAGTCCTTTAAAGGAGGAGTTGAAGGAAATTGGACAGGAGAACTGTGGCTGATTTTCCCTGGTATTATTTCATTTTTGGATATAAAGTTGAAAACATCATTTTCTTTTCAGGGAGAACAGGCCATGGTAAGAAAAAGCAAGAGTCTAGTTGCTTCTTTAATAAAGTTACTGTGCATCAGCCTAGCTGAGTATAAGTTTATAATTAAGGCTATATATGCAATAAGAGAAGAACTGAGGCAATATTGAACAAATCTGAAAAATAAAATTTTAAAGAGAAAACTTTACTGTTTTTCTCCCCATAATATTGATTGTATCACATAGTAGCTTATTTTCACTTTACCTGTATAATATTTTACACAGATAAGACATTTCTTATTATCCCATGTTAATAAAATAATACATTTCCCTATTATCTGCTTTTCTGGGGAAAAATCAATATTGATATTCCCTTAGAAATCAATCGCTAAAGCACCTAATTCAAGGAAACACTCTTCTCTAAAAATCATGTTTTTTTTAATAATATGAAAGGACCAAATGGAGAAAATTTTCTTGTTGAAGGATTTTTAGGGCACCAAAGTAACTGCTTAAGTACTTCTGGTGACTTAGAGTGAACTTCCTTGTCTAAATTCTCAGTTTGACAATTGTCATGGCAACTGAAGACTGAATTTATCAAAAGCCAGCTTTTCACTTAAGATATAGTACCTTATTAAATGTACTATTACAATGCATCAAACTGATGGCATTCCTAACTGGCCACAGAAGATTCATTCATGTTTTTAGTGAAATCAGCAAGTGATTTTGTAAGCAAGTAATTTTGTATGTATTAAATATTTATTGATGGAAGGGTAAGAATTTAGAGTTCAGTGATGAATGAACACAGAAACTAATGAACACTTTGAAAAGACATTATAGAAATGCAGTAGTCAACATTTCAACATGTGATATATTAGGACCATTAATTTGTTCCAATAAAAAAAAATCTCAATTTTTAGACAAGAAGGAAAATCAAACCAAGCATTAACAAACACACATACAGGATCACACATACACTCACACAGAGCCAAATCTATATATCTTGGTATTTTTTGGAAAATTATCAGAAAAAATGTGAGAAGATGGCAAAATAAAAACTAGTTTATGGAGTTAAGAAAAAGACAATTACAATTAAATGTGATAATTAACTTAGGAAGAGTTAATAAAAAGTTAAAAAAATAAGTCCCATGATTTTAATTAAAGAAACATCAATAACAGCAGGACTGTTTCTGCCACTGATTTCCTTCCTCTCATTTCAGAAGTTACTGGATTAAAAGAAAGAGAAAAGTAGTCTGCTAGCAGCTATTTATATAATACCAATGAAGGCACAAAAGAGTGGATTCAGAACCAATGAGTGAAGATGTGGGTTTGGCATGAACAAAAATTGACCCTGAAATACAGTTAAAGATCTGGCACTATTTGCATTTATAGTTGCATTCTTAAGTGACTTATGAATTAGGGATCTATAAAAATCTTTTCTTTCTTTCTTTGACAATAAAATATACTTATCAAAACTTGCTAGCTTATCTGTGCAAATATCATTAAAGCAAAAAAAAAAGTATGAAAATAACCCCTAAAAAGACCTGCTTTTGATATGTTCAAAAGATCTTGTGTAGAATCAGTCTCTGAAGAATTTGCATTATCTGGAGAGAAAAATCAAAATGTGGTATCCAAAAGAGATAAGGACATCTGTGCCCTCCTAACACACACTTTTGAATCTGTTGATGAAACTTTAAAAAAAATTTACTTTCTAATAGCAGATCACAGATAAGCCACTACTCATTAAGAAAATTTAGGGTCAATAGGCTATGTTTTGACATAAAACACTATTGGACCATTTCACAGAATTCTTTAAAAGTGTATTTATGTAATTTGGCTATATTAGTATTGACTCTATTGTCACTAATAATTATATGTGGTCTTAAGGGAAAGGGGGCCACTGAAGTCACTGGGTACAATATTATTTTACACTATCTCATGAAGGAATTATTAGATTAAAGAATTAATATAAGCTGAAGAATTATTAGATTAAAATCTCTGTAAATTTTTTTCTAAAATTTTTGCTTGTTAAACAAAAGTCATAAGGGTTGCATTTACCTCCTAATCAAGTATTCTAGAATAGGAAGTCATTCAGGATGAGACTGTGGAAAGAATCAGATTAAAAGCAGGGCAGTGAGGTCACCAATTGCTGTTCTCCCCAACATTTGTTTAAATAACTAAAGGTATCAGCAACTGATAACTATTCCACATCTGAAGCATCATTGTCAGAAAGATGATAGTTACTTCCCTTTACTCGAATGTATTCAATATATCTTCCTTCATCAGAATCTGAAGCGCCACATGTACATAGCCTGTTGTCAAAAAGTGATTCAATTTCCTCTAGTTTTTTCCCTTTGGTTTCAGGAAGACAGCCATAGATGAAAAGAAGTCCCACAGCTGCAAATCCAGCATAGAGGAAGAAAGCTCCTGCAATGGTAAATAATATGTATGAATATATATATGTAGGCTTAAGTCAGAAGAGTACTCAATTTTGACATTTCTCCCCCTAGTCAATCATGTATAAGCACGGTAGAAAATGGGACCAAAAAACTGCTAACCTGGTTTACTCAAATTGTTCTGACTCTATGAATATAATGTAACATTTAATGCCAAACTCAAGAATAATAAGAATAGACCAGGCTCAGCTGTAAGTTCTGCTTTGAAGCCTTTCCTCGTGTTCGTTACTGGAGGGAATTACTCCTTCCCATATGCTTCCATAGCACTATGCTGACAAGTATTATATGATAAAAAACCAAGAAGTATTATAATTATGTGCATATGTATATCTTGTCTACAAGACTAGAGGCACTTTGAGATGGGGGAAATTTCTTTCTTATGTTGATTTCCAGAACCAAACACAATAATGACATTGCTAAATTATGCCTCAGTGGAGCACACAGGCAACTCCATTCTTCTGGTTTCTCGTGCCACAAATCTGGGAGTCATTCTTGACATTTCTTTTATTCTCCTACCCAACATCCAATCTGTTAGGAAATCCTGTTGGCTTTATCTTTAAAATATAACCCAAAGATGACAATTTCTTAGTAAATTCATAGATATCTGAGGCTTAAGAGCTATTCTTCCTCACTACACTATTGCAATTGTCTTCTAATGGGTCACCTTGTTCCTTCTCTTAGACCTTTATATTCCATTTTTTTCTCCATCATCTGACATACTGTAATGTAAGCTCTATGAGTTCAGAGAATTTTGTTTTGCTGTGAGATTATGCATGTCAGTGCAGTACAGCCATAAAGACATAACTACTACCTGTTTTCTCAATTTCAGTAAAGCAAGACTGATGGATGTGATACCTGAATGCATGGCTTCTTTGTATTCTCTCCATATTTCCAAGTTAGCATTTCCTTTATAATTGAATTCTTCATTTAAGTTTAAGAACCTATATTTTAACTTTGGTGGGGAACAAACTATGATAAAGTCTTTGCATAATTCTAGGCCTTCAGATCAGATTATCTGTGTATAGGATGGGGAAAGCAAAATTAAAGATTAATGTGACAAATAGCTGAAGAAAGGGTGTCACAATTAGGACTGGGAAGACCTGGATGTAAAACTGGTCTCAGTGTCTTCTAGATAGTCATTTAACCTCTGTGCCTTAGTTTCCTCGTTAAATAAAGTAAGATGGTTTCACAGTTACTATTTAAGTGCTGGCAGTTTATGAGTCTATAAATAATATAGTCCAAATCACAAACAGGTATAGGTAAAATGGTTACGAGATACTGAAGAGAGAGACTTGCTCTTTTGTAAGTAGCAATGTGGTCTACTTGAGGGCAGAGTCTGTTGTTTGCTCATCATTGGAGTCCCAGTGAATAGGGCAGTGCCTGAACACATCTGAGGGTCTAGAGAATTAATGTGCCCTTTAAGCTAGCAGACCAGAAAAAAGTGTTGAATTGTACAATTATACAATATAGCTTTAAACTGAATAATCATAGAAGTTAAACAACTGAGTAAAACATTTTGATATGGTAACATAATAGCACAGTAAGGGAAAGACATATTAAGACTACTTTCTTAATAAATAGCTATGTTGAAAATTTCCTCAGAAATATGTCTTGGCAACTCTTGAGTAACTGTGGAGGAGTGCTGCTTAAAGAATCTGCTAAATAGAATGAGGGGCTGTAAGAAGACAGAAGGGGAAACAGAGATAAATTGTGAGATATTAGAAAAAACATGAAAGGGTTAACTAAATCAACATATCATTTGTTAGGTTAAGTACTCAGAGCCATTAACTTTTTCAGGAGCTAGACTTGTAAAATACATTGTTTTTCTTTAGTAAAATTCAACTGTTTACAAATCATCAGTTCATTTTAGTATGGTTCTTTTTAAACACTAACTATAAGCTTACATTTATTTTTTTATAGCTTATACCCAAATCAGAAAAGATTATGAAGTCATGTAGGATGTGAGGCACAGTGAGAGAAGTCTAGCTCCATGGCTCTGTGGAGAATGTGACCCTGAAAGTCCCATTTATGGTTCAGGACCCATCAATCCTGAACCCTTGGCAGAGTTTTTAAAATTCTTTTGAACTTAGTTTCCTGATCTGTGTAAAGGGGAAATAATTCCTGCTTTGCCAAACTGTACAGAATAGAAATAATGTATGTTACATGTCCATTAGAATTTTGGATGCTCAAAAATGTGATAGTCAACATTATTCAATTCTACCAAATGATTAATTGGGAATATTCTCATAAAAATGGTGACATTGACAAGCTAGCTCTTAGAGAATGTGGCAGTTTGACTTCCTCTTCCTATCCTAAAAGGAAGCAGAGTCCTGTGTTATGAGGGCACATAAGCAAAAATATGGAGGGGAACAGAAATCCAATCTTTAGTGAGGAAGGACAAAAAAAAAGGATGGTAATCATGAAAAGTAAAGTGCAGATGGTGAAACATTTTAAACTATATCAAAGCAAATCCAGTTTGGCTTTACACAATATATATATATTTTTTCATGATCTTTCACAATTTTGGAACAGTGGTCTAATTAGAAGTAACAAAATCTGTCATTCTAAACTCCTATAGTTAAAAACAGTTAAATGCATTAGTAAGATTCTTAAAGATGATACAGATTGTTGTTTGTAATCTAGATTTCCAAAACCAAAGAAAGTAAATTACATTCTTTTAAAATATAAGACTGAAAAAAATATAAAGAATCCAAAGCAGGCAAGTGTGCACACTGCCTAGACCCTGCTGAGACTGGTCAAACTACAGAGGAGTGTAAGCAGGCCTACTTCTTGTCATGGTCAAATCAATAATGTAACTCACTTTCTCAGTTATTCCTCCTTGGAAAAAAAAAGTAACACGTCTATCACAGGACTATAAAACAGTGTAGATAATTCCTCAGCATTATTCTAAATGAAATAAATCTTATTGGAGTTCTATATTAAATTTCAGATTAAAACAAATATTTAATATATTTATGCAGATGAATGGATAAAAAATGTGGTATATATACATAATGGAGTATTACTCAGTCATAAGGAAAAATAACTATGACAATTGCTGGTAAATGGATAGATCTGGACACTATCATTCAAAGTGAAATAAGCCAATCCCCCAAATCCAAAGGTCAAAGGTTTTCTCTGATGTGTGGAAACTGACCCACACAATAAGGGATTGGGGGGAAAAATAGAAGTTCAGTGGAGTAGATAAAGGGGAATGAAGAGAAGGGAGGGGTGTGGGTAAAGGAAAGACAGTGGAATGAATCTGATGTATTTATGTATGTACATAGGAAAGTGATATCAGATTCATTCCACTGTCTTTCCTTTACCCACACCCCTCCCTTCTCTTCATTCCCCTTTATCTCACCATTGTGTTTTTTAATTTTTTTTTGTACTGGGGATTAAACCCAGGGGTACTTAACCACTGAACTGCATCCTCAGCCCTTTTTATATTTTATTTAGAGACATGGTCTTGCTGAGTTGCTTAGGGCCTCTTTAAGTTGCGGAGGTTGGCTTTGATCTTGTGATTCTCTTGCCTCAGCCTCCTGAGCTGCTGGTATTACAGGTTTGTACCACCATGCCTGGCCTTGTACATCCACAAGAAATTTAAAAAAATAAATAACTGGGTAAAAACAAATATTTATACAAATTGAATCAAGGATCATGTTTCATTAAATTTTAGTATTTCAAGAATGGTGATATAATGCTCTCCAAGGGAATCCATTTAGCCATACATACATGATATGTATAAAATGGTATACTGGTGACATTTTAATGATGATTTTTAGTAATGAACATTATTAAATGACTTATAAGGCAAGCCTTATGAATTAACAATAATAATAATAAACAAGAAAGAAAGAAGCCATGTATATTCCTAGAATAATATAGCATTAGGATGTGTTATAGTTTGGATCTGGAATGTTCCCCAAAGTCTCATGTGTTGAAAGCTTGGTCCCTACCTAAGGCAGCAATGTTCAGAGGTTGAGCTTTTAGGAAATGACTGGATCAGAAGGGCTTTAACCTCATCAGTGGATTAGTCCATTTGATAGATTAACAATTTGAATGGACTATGGGGAGATGGTAGAAACTGTAGGTAGGTGGAACATGGTTGGAGAAAATAGGTTGCAGGGGGTTGTGCCCTGGAAGGTTGTTGTCCCTGGCCCCTTCCCCTTTCTTTCTTTCTCTGCTTCTAGCTACCAATGAGGTAAGCAGCTGTCCTCTGCTAATCCTTCTATCATGATGTTCTGCCTAATCTCAGGCCCAAAACAATTGAGCTGGCTAACCATGGACTGAAACTTCTATAAATCTTTCCTCCTCAAGTTGTTTTTATCAGGTATTTGTTACAGGGATAAAAAGTTGATTAACACAGATATGTACATATTGAATCAGGGTCATTAAATACATATCTTACATAAATCAATAACATTAGATTAAAATATCACACAAAAAGGAGAAAAATGATCCCGAACTGAAATATTTTCCCTCTTGGAGAGTTGCAGATCAGATAGACAAATGTGCTGACATGAGAGAAGCAAAAGCTTCCAACTGGCTATTTTTGAAAAAGGTCTGCTTATGACCCATTTAAATTTCATTTTTGTTTCATATTTTCTCAGAAGTATAGATTCAGGAATAGCTTTGCTCTCCAAAGTATTACCATGTAAACTTTTTTTTTTTTCTAATTTGGACTATGAGTTTCTATACAAAATGCTTTCTCAGGGTGTTAGTATATATTTAGCTTTTCAAATATTTAAACATTCTCAAGAATCAACAAATAGAAGTAAATATTGTGTTCATATTTATCATGTCATGATGAGAAGTTCATGATGAGTTTATGTATAAATCTTTAATTGCCAAATGGGATAAAGCTGAATATTCTAAATATATATCCAGTTTAAAATGCCAGTGCATTTCCTTTCCAAGAAAAAAAATATTTCTAAGTGTTCTAAGTAGTGATTAGAAGAGTTTTAAAAATATAAAATCATTGGATAAATAGTATAAATTAAAAGCAGATACCAATTTAATATGTTTAGAAGAGAAGGAAAATAGATTTTTATGTTTCCTTGTAATCATTTATCTACAAAATTCATTCATGTATTTATTCACTGGGCAAACACTTTTGAGTGCTTATCTGGTGAATTAGATACCATGGTAGGACTCAGGAATATAGTTTCTCTCTAGGGATTTATGGTCTAGTGGTAGAGTGTTGGGAAGAAGGCCAATAAGCCTGTTCTGTAACATGGAATTATAAAAGTTCCTGGAGCATGACTGAGGTGAGATGGGGAAGGGAATCAGAACAGGTTTTCTGGTAGAGTGGATTTCTACAAACTCTACCAAGGCTTATGGGGAGATGATAATGAATACCTTGCATTTCACTGTTTGGATCCTATCAGAACCTATGAAGTTGGACGAACAAGGCAGAACCCTCTTTTTAATTTTTTTTTTTTGTAGATGGACAGCATGCCTTTATTTTATTTATTTTTTTATGCAGTGCTAAGGATCGAATCCCAGTGCCTCACAGTGCTAGGCAAGCGCTCTGAGCTACAGCTCCAGCCCACTGAGTTCTCTTTAAAAAAAAAAAAAGAAAAGAAAAATAATGTCTTTTCGCTTAAGTACAAAGGATTTGAAACAGCTTCCCAAAGTATTTTTTTAACCCAGCTATTTCCCAGTATTGTTGTTTTTGAAATATGGTCTCCATGTTTTTCACTTGAACATTCTTGTCACAGTTGTGGAAGTATTGGCCTTAAAGAACACTGAAAGGTACAGGTGGGAGGCATGAGCACAACACATCATATCTTTCAATATTTGTGTAATTTACTTTCTGCCCTCCACTGACTGTGCTCCTAGACTTGAGTGCTTCCCTGTTACAGAGTATCTTGTTGGCCCTGCCTTTATCTTTCTACTGTTTGTTAAACTGAAAGCTACACTGTGAAGATGTCCAACTGGGGAGGTAGAGGGGAGATATTTGGGGTTACGAGAGTGGATAAGAAATAGCCATAAGCCTCAAGATCAAACCAGGCTCTTACCATAGTATGTAAGATATTCTGCTGTGTGTAAAAATGTCAGTGAAACCAGAACATTGAAAATCCAGTTTATTCCAGATGAACATGCATTTCCTGTACTTCTTGCCCAAAGGGGATATATTTCAGAATTCACAGTCCAAGGCATTGGTCCCATTCCTAAAAAATAAAAAAAAATTTAAAGCTTCTGTAAAATAGCATGTAAAAACTTTGCAAAATAGTAAGTTTTATTCTAAAAGGAGATAATTTAAGACAATAATAACAACAAAGCCTTTGCTTACCAGGTGCAAAGAAAACAAGATATAAAATAAGGCCCAGAAGTGCAGTCCAAGAGTATGGAGTAGGGCAGAAATTGTAAGCCCAAAATACTTCTTCTGTTTTGAACTTGGTTTCATTTTCACACCTAAAAAATAAGGCAATATAATAAGTGTTTTAGGATATAGTTGGATGTGTTTGGAAATCCCTTAATGTCTTATGATAAAGGGTACAAATGGTTTTCTTGAAAAAAATTATTAAATATGTATGTAAGTTCATATAGAACATTTTAAAGCTAATAAAATTCTAGGGCAACCCATAGAAATGAACTATTTTTTACCTATCTCTGTAAAAATTAGACCTTTTTTCTAGAAGAATACTATGAGTCAGTGTTCCAAATTTCAGAACCAAAGGTTTTTCATCTGTGAAATGGGGATGAGAACTCATAGGCTGTAAAGAGGTGATAGGGTGGATAAAGGAAGCAAACAGAACAGTAACAATGATTAGATCTGATTCCAAATAATCATCTGTCTCCTGCTCAATGTCACTGCTTTTACGTCAGTTATTCCTGATGATCTTACCTTCTTGTTCTATAGTGAAGCAAAATGTCCTTGGTTTATATTAATTCTGAAATTGAACTAAAATCTTTTTACCTTAATTGCCCCTAAAGATACAATTAGTCCTGGCTGGGCTCATGTCTGTAATCTCAGTGGCTCAGAAGGCTAAGGCAGGAGGATTTCGAGTTCAAAGCCATCCTCAGCAACTTGTTGAGGCCATATGCAACTCAACAAATTTTAAAAAAATGGGGGTTTTGGGATGTGGCTCAGTGGTTAAGTGTCCCTGGGTTCAATCCCCGGTATCCCCCAGCCAAAAAAAAAAAAAAAAAAAAAAGACTAGTCTCAAAAACACTGTCTTTGTCAACCTCTGAACCTTGACATTCAAGCCTACTTTTGTTATAGTGTGTATGAACTACTTAAACATCCCACCTGTCTTGATGATTTAGATGCTTTGTCAGTCCTTTCTCTACCTCCTTTCATACTGTACCACATTCATTTTTACTTCTTGCCCATCTAATTCATTGGGCTAATACTTCATTATTTATTCTAAAAGCAGAGAGAGAGGGAAAGAGAGAGAGTGCGCGTGTGCGCACATTTTATTTTGATGGAAGTAATATTTTATTCTAAGACATCAAACCTTGAAACATTCATTTTCTGATCACACTTTATTTCCTCACTTTTGATAATATGAACTAAAGCCAAAACTTTAGTTTCTGAACTTCCAGTATGCATTTGCTTCATTACTCAGCTCAGACCATGCCAATACTCTACTCTCTTCACTGGCCTTTAGAAGCCAACCTTCCTCTATACTTGTTTGCCATCTTACCATCTCAGTTTCCAACTCAGTGTGATATCACTAACTTCCTTCAACAACCACTTATTATAAGTTGGCCAAAGTTATAAAACTATGCTTGTGGGCTCCATTAATTTTTCATGCTAATTCATCTTAGTGGGGTCCCTAATGATGCTTATTTAATCCTTTATTGTCTTCTCTACTGAATTACCTACGTATTTCAAAGTAGTCAATAAACTTTTGTCAACTGTTGTTTCAACTCAATAAAATATTTCTTACTATCTTCTAGTCCTGAAATCTTTCCCTGTGGTTTCTAAGGAGATGAATTTGTCTCCTTGTTAAAGAAGAATTGAGGGGGGTCAGGGACAGGGCTCAGTGGTGGAGTGTTTGCTTAGCATGCGTAAGGAACCAAGTACTATACAAAGAAAAAAGGAAAATTAAATTTTCCTTTACTCAACCTCTACTTTTCTTTTTTGAAAATAAAAAAATCTTTCCCAGAAACAAAAAATAGAGGCGAGCTCTTCTCCATCCAGAGGTATGTTATTCATCTTTTCTAAGAACTGTCATTTATGTCAATCATTTTGCATCTTATTCTTCTCCTGCATCCTCTGAGGTTATTTTTCATAAAGTCTATTCCTTCCATCTTTAGTTTCTTCCTATTTGAGCCTTCCCTTCTGTCTATTACACAGATCTCTCCTATTCAAGTGTTTAACCTTCTCATATTACTACTACTAGCTCTTCCAAAATCACAGAGGCACTTCTACTCATGAACTCTACATTCTCACTTTCCTTCCCATACCCTTTCCCATACCCTGTCACCTGCCAGCTGACTTAGTTGGGGTCTATTTTCCTGAATCTGCTCACCAAAATGCCATCTATGATCTCTTTTATTTACTCTGTGATGGTTGATATTTCTGATATCCTTCTTTTCTTCTCTTCCCTCTTTATTTTTTAAAGCGTTCTCTAAAGTTTTACTTTGGGCTTATGCCTTCTATTGTCATCATCCTATCTAATTGTAGATTATAGTCTCCACGTGGATATCCATTTTTAGTTTATCCTTGACTTTTTTTTCAAGCTCTATTGATGGGGTTTAGGTATCTGTTGAACATTCACATCTAGATATCCTGCTATACCCTTAAACATAATGTGGCTACAATGAAATGTATTCTAAGAAGAAAGGTGGGGCTTCTATAACTGCAAATCATGACTTAACCACTTACTTTGTTGTGTTAATGCAAAAATTTATATGATGGGTGCTTTTAATGTGTCAGTAATTAGAATACAATTATTATATTTATGGAACCTTGAGTAGGATGGACACAAGCATGGTCCTGTTTCCTCAATCTGTAAAATAGGTGAAAGGACTATTACCAGGCTGTTAGAACATTAAATGTTCCTATCTGTGTGAGCATTGTGCATTTGCATGCTTAGCATCCTGCCTGGCATATGGTATAAGCACAATCAATTATTACTTTACTAGTGCCCCTCGAGCCATTTCTGTTTTATTTAACATAACCATTCTCTGAATTGCATGTTTTAAAATCTTGGCATCATCTTCTGCCTTTTCTTATCCATTTTAGATCTACTTGCTTTTAAGTATAACTAAAGCACAGTGGCTGAGAGTTTATACTCTGACACTAAATTCTGAAGGTTAAATCCCAGGCTGGGACAGCAAGCTGTGAAGCTAGAATGTATGTGACTAAAGTACTTTTCAAAGCTATGCCCTTATCTGTGAAATAAGGATTTTCCTAACACAGAGAAAGATATTTTTGAGTCTTACATGACATTAATGAATACAAACAATTTCACACAGTACAGGCCAGAAATCATAATCATATTTCTGATGGGCTGTGGATGTAGCTTAGTAGTAGAGCATTCACTTGAATATACAAGGTCCTAGATTTAATCTTCAACACAAATAAAAAAAATCTGTTTCCTAGATACTTTCTTGAATCTGATTCTTCCATTTGCACTCATAAGCACCTCAATTCAGAATCTGAGTGCTTGTGTCATAAACCACTTCTCAGCACAGTCTAGAGCAGACCCCTGATCTGCATTTCCTGATATTCATGTCCTGTGCATTCTTCTGCCCTTGAATGTGGGAAGAACCTGTGACTTGCGTCTAACCCAACAGAAGCTGGCAAAGGTGACAAGACATACGTGGTCAAGTATGTAAGATAGTAGTGCTGTTAAGCTGAACTCTTTCATTCCCTTGCTGGCTTTAAAGGAGCAAGATTCCATATTGTAGGAGGTAGAAGGCTTATTTTGGAAGGCCCCCAGAGGGAAATAAGGGCAGCTTTGACACAAAGCCACAAGTTACTTAATTCTGCTAACAAAAGTGAATAATCCCCTATTGAGCCTTGTTCTGAGTGTTGTATGATCCTAAACAGAGGACCCAGCTAAGCTGTGCCTGGATTCCTGACCCACAGAAACTATGACATAATAAATGTGTGCTATAATAGAAAATAAATATACTCTAATTATTTTTTATGCTTCTAGCATATCTTTCTTCAAATTTCTGCCCTACTACACTATAACTGTTCTAGCCAGTTTGCTGCTCGAAAACCATTTTTTCCCTAATTCCAACAGGGCCTGCAAAATTTGGCCATAGCTGCTTTTTGTTGTATTCTATACATAATCATATTCTCTACCTAGACTAGACTTTATTTTATGAATATACTTTCCAGAGCCAACATCTTCTACTCATGCCATTTCCTCTAACTAAAAGCAGACTCTTAATTCTCATGCCTCCAGGGTTAGTAATTCTCTTGGGCCTCCAGGGTTAGTATAAAGCCTACCACACAGCTGTCTGAAAGCTTCTTCCCTCCATCACACTCAGTTTCATCGTCCTTGTTTATACCATTGCTCAATATTCTCCCATTTGATATAAAATCCTCCTCCTCCTATGCTGGACCCTCACCCCAGGCACTGCAGCATGACACAGGGGGCTGAGCACACAAGGTCAAAAAAATGTCAGATATGAATTTATTTTTCATTTCTACCACTGGTCAGCTGTGTAACTTTGGAAAAATCACTTAATTTCTCTGTGTTTCAATTTTTCTATTAAAAAAAAGAGTCCCTGATAGAGATTAAATAAGGGGATAACTGCTTGGCACAAGAGCAACTTATAAGTGTCTGCCAAAAGAATAGACATTTTTGTATTTTTAAAATATATTATTTTCTAGTCCAGAGATTATACTCTATAATAAATCTCCTGAGAAATAATCCTTGAATGTTAAACGAAGCCTTAACATTGACATTTGTTTGAAAGTATGAAACAGCAGTAGCAATCTCCTGATATATAATCCCATGATTGATAATTTTCCACCACTGAAGTAGTCTTTTGAATTATTAAAATCATAAGAAGGAAGAAAAAACAGGAAAAGAAAAGTAGGCAGGTAGGTAGGGGAGGAATGTTCATAGTGATAACTAAAATGCACTGAAAACCTCTCTTTACTATTTTTGTTACTATCATATTTTCTTGCATGTGGTATTGCTATGAGAATGGTAAGTAGCATATTCTAAGGTGAACTCCACTTACTCACACAGCTTTCCCTGTCTGGCTGTGCATGTTTCTCTGTGTAAAAATGGCCAAATAAACCCACTGTCATCTTTGTGCTGATTTTAGAAGCAGTGCAGGCACTGACTTCTCAGTTGCATACTCAGCAATACATACATGTAGCAAATGACTAAGGTGACATCATTCTTGACCTTCAAAATATAAACACTACAAATCCCAACTAAAAAGTGAAAATGTAGATTCTGATATTATTACACAATACCCTCATGCTTTCCTGG